TGGTGTGGCTATTGAGTAGAGGTGGCGGCAAGTAATGCGGTCTGTTGCAAGTTCGAAGCCTACTGAGGAAATTTTTTTAATTTCTTTTTAATTACTGCTAAAGCAAACGAGCGCGTAGCGTGAGCTGTATTTGGTGTCGGAAGAAGAGGGTTCAGGGTATCCTCTAGTCGGGAGTTCCCGACTAGAGCCTCTTACTTGTTTAAATTTATTTTTATTTTTTTAATAATGTTAGTTGTATTCCTTCACCCATTAAAAAGTTTAAATAAGTCAAGAAAATTATTTTTTTCGGTAAATCCTAAGCAAGCAAGCTTTACTCTACTATTTGTCGTGTATGTGCAAGTGTGTGATGGACTCGTATTAGGAACCGTATTTGTGCGAATGCCATTCGCACAGCTGATATTGTGAAATAAGGCCTCCACTCTGACCATTTCAATCAAACAATCAGTATAGTCACTGTGTGACATTTGAATTGCGCACGTGAATTCATGTTCATTGTATGTATGCATTTATGTATATAAATAGTGTGAATGCATTTTGAATAAGGTGCTGCTATGGACGGGGCTTGTCCTTTATGGATCTTGCTGAGGATCCTGATTATACTCTGAACCCATTGAAAATGGGTAAAAAGGGTATAATATATTTGTGCATATACACAAATGTATGTAACAGGCAGAAGGAAGCATCTTTGACCCCATAAAGTATATATATTCTTGATTAGCATCAATAGCCGAGTCGATCTAGCCCTGTTCGTCTGATGTCCGTGTAACCGAACAAAATTTGGAACGTAGGTCCGCCTGGTGCGTTTCCATGCAGTGGATGAAACTCGATATCGACTTTCTGTTTTTTGAGCAAATCTCTTAGTTTTAAGAGCTAGAATAACCAAATATAGCTTCTCGATTGGTATATACCGATCAAGAAGCTTTCCTTTAATAGCTAGCACACATTTTTTTATTACTGTTAAAGCAAGCGCGCTTGTAGCGCGAGGAAAACGGTTCAGGATATCCCTTAGTCGGGAAGTCCCGACTAGAGCCTCTATCTTGTTATTACAATGGCTGTGTTAGGCATTACTGGCATTATTTGTATATGCGTTTCATATATACCGCTTTATAGCCCTTTCGACCTTTACAAAGCGCACGTGGACAACATTAGCAGCGTTCACCAAAGTCTGGATGCCCAATGGGGAAATGGCTTGAACTTTATTTCCCAATAAAATCTATCTGCCATCCAATGTTCATCATCCGCACAATATTGTTGAATAATATAGCATGGGTTTATCTAAAGTTATTACAATGTTCAATAAATTGCGAAACATTTTTTATCTAGTTTTTCCGAATTTAGAAGGTAATTTGTGGTGGGGGATAAATCTGATTTTTGCAAATTTAAATATACATTGGCTTTGGCATGATTAGCTGATCGCAATAAACTTCGATGGGCAGCATTGCACCATAACATTTATGCAAATACGTATGGTCAGCTTAGGATAATAACATAACCAGAGTGACCATGACCTATGTTAATAATTACGCCGTTGCGAATGAAAATATCGTGTCTTGACCGCTTGTATTTGCCTCTTTTAATATTGGCTTGGCGTCACTCTTTCCCTGGCCATTAATGGATTAAAAATTATAAAGTTCAGATTTATACGTGGGTGTAATAACCCCATGTGCATTGGCATCCAAGCTCGAAGTCAAAGTCCCTGCGCTCCCGAGCGCTCGGCTATAACCTTTCACCAGATTAAAGAAAAATGTTCAGAATGCGGACATTGACAACTTCGAACTTGGAGTCGAAGTGTGCCTTTCCTGATGTCGTAGGAAGGTGCAGGCTGAATTGCGGCGTCAAAGCAACAAATGGCGATAATCTTCGGTAGACTGGTAGCAGGGAGTGTATTTCCCAAGGCGGGGCCAACTTTTCAGCATCTTCTGATTGTCTGCAAATAAGCACTGAATCTCGCTACCCATTAGTTCTTGCCGCACGCTCAGACAGACCAACGTGACCACGTGTTCGACCCATATACTCCCGGACCTTCTATAGCGCAGATCTGGTGGTTTGCTAACCAGTGCGCACATCAACACGGACTTTCAAAATTTAAATTGCAACTATTTCCGTTTTATACAGAGGTGGCAAATTTCAGTCCTTACTTTTGGGCTGATATGCAAAAAAACAGTTTTTGTCTTACAGAATCAATAAGGGGGAAAGAAAACAGACAAAGTTCTGTTTATACGCAGCAGACCTTAGGCACGAGCAAAGACACTTTTCGTATTTGTTGTATCGGACATGAACACTGAACAGAAAAAAAAACTGCCAAAGTGTCTTTTGTGAATATGCATGGACTTACGTGCTTATGTGTGTCTAACGACACACATAAAAATTCACATACATAAACATTATAAACAAATTATAAATTATTTAATGGGTGTATTCTTATAGCTTTGATGTATGTACATATATATGTACACATATATAAAGTAGCTCGCCTACATGCATAATTGTATTATGTCGTGCCCTCTTTTACTCTCTCTCTCTCTCGCTCTCTCTCGCTCTAGCTTTCATAGATATCGGCACATGACAACAGCAAATAAAGACACTTTTCGCATCCACCTTTTTCGTTTTGCTCTTCGACAGACTTGCATTTTCTGAGCGGCCGACTGAATGTGTCCTGTTAAGATCTTACTTATAGAGAAAACAGTAGCATTGATTAACCGAAAGCACGAACACAAGCACAACGAAATAAAATATTCGAAATCGAATCTGCTTCGTTTTTATACCCTGAACCCATTCAAAATGGGTAAACAGGGTATAATGTATTTGTGCAAATATATGTAACAGGCAGAAGAAAGCATATCCGACCCCATAAAGTATATATATTCTTGATCAGCATCAACAGCCGAGTTGATCTAGCCATGTCCATCTGTCTGTCCGTCAGTCCGTCCGTCTATCCGTCCATCCGTCCGTCAGTCCGTATGTATGAACGCAAGGATCTCAGAACCTATAAGAGTCTGGAAATTTTAGTTGTAGGTCCTCCTAGACCCCGCGCAGATCGAGTTTGCTTCCGATAGAAGATAACTTGCCCCGTTTCCAAGTAATCGATTAAAAACGATATCGAAATCCTGTTTTTGGCGCTATTTTGGTAAATAATAAGAGCTGGAGTCACCAAACTTGACATTTAGCTTCTAGAATAGTATATATATATCAAGTATCTTTCATTTTTACCTATCGCCACCTCCCCGCTACCACTACATAGCTATAAATCATGTTAGTAAACCAACTTGTATTGCCTACCTATTTTAGCCACAATTTTAATGCAATTGTCATTTTGAGAATACACTAATAGTTTATAGTATTATACAATAAGATCTAGTGCTGAATTTCATCAAGATCGGTTAAGAAACACAAAAGTTATGTGCGCAAGTGTTAGCAGCAGCTAGCGCAAATCCCAAAAATTTCTGTATATATGTACACACAAACATTCATGCGCGTCTGCTTTGGCAAAGGGCAAAGGGCTAACGATAGAGAGTGAGCAGCAGCTTACAAAGAGCTCGCAAGCAATTTGTCGTCTTCTGCTGTTGGTTACAGCACGCAGCCGTCGGTGTTGTCTCCGTTGGTTACTTGACCAAACAATGGGAATGGAATGGAAATATATAAGCATGTGTATAATACACGAAAATGCGTTCTTAAAAGTTATAGTTCATACATTTTCCGGAATTGGCAAGTGCATACAGACCGCCGGACATATCAAATGAGCTTGTCGTCCTGATCGAGAGTATATATCTGTTCAAAGTCTCTTGATTTTGCCTGTTAAATAAATTTGAATAAAACATTAACCCTTCATATCTTTATATATTTTAAGTTGGTACAATGTGTTTAAACAGATCCAACTTTAATTCCGTGGAAATATTTTTGCTTTGCGGTATGTGCAATAGGAGCAATCTTCAAGCTAGATTCTCCGAATCAAAGCCCTACTCCCTGTGTCATGTTATAGCATCCTGAGCTCCTTTCTGGCAGGACGCACCTTTAACGTGGCCATTAAAGACCAAAGGTCGCATATCAAAGGCATTAAAGCAGGTGTCCCAAAAGGCAGCGTCCTCGGTCCGTTGCTGTACCCGCCGTACATGGCGGACCTCCCCATACAAGGACGAAACAATGCAGCCTTCAGCCCCACAAGACTGCTGGTGGCAACCTATGCGGATGACACCGCCTTACTGGCTTCACAAGAATCCTTACAATCTGTAACAAATGCAGTGCAGGACTGGCTGCTGCAGGTCGAAAATTGGACAGCTAACTGGAACGTCGCCACAATCTGTGCCAAATCCGCTTGCGTCACTTTCACGCTGCGCCCAGACAGCTGCCAGGGGCTACGGTTCGATGGAGAAACCATTGAGCACAGCAGATCATTCGCTCTCTTTGCGTGTCAACTTGGACTGAAGGGTCATATGGGGGTCTCACATCGCAGCAACGAGAACCAAATGCTTTAGAAAGCTTCAAAAGCTCGTCTGGCTACATAATCCTTAAAGCAAGCTGCATAGCGCGGCCGCCTGGGTTCTGGCTGACCCCAACAGACAGAGGTGCCTCCGAAGGCTACACCCCGATGACCTACCTACGAGGCGAATTATTTAAATATCTCCATCCCTTTCTTTGTAAAAAATCATATAATCATTGTAAATATCATATTAGCTCCTAACTTGTACATTCTTCCCTTATATATTCGTGCCTCCGAAGGCACTGATCGATTCCAGCGCAAAAAATAAAACATATTTAAATAATAAGATTCTTGTGATCTAAGAGGTAGAGATTTTAAGATTGAACTTAAACGTATATCAGAAGTTTCTGTAAAATTTGAAATCACACAACTTAAAGCCTATGCAGCTTAATTAATTTTATACGGATGTTCACTTGATGACTATAAATCTTTTGTACACATCGAAGCTTAGTTATTAATTTAATTCATTAAAAAACGTTTTAGTTAATCAGAAATTTACTAATAATTAATTTGGGTATCTTACCTCTTCACAAAGAGCAAGCATTCGTCGGGTGCTTTCCAAGGACTGCAATAAAATGTTAAGATATACGTTTCATTTTATTTCATTTATATTACACGTTTTTTACAAAATATAAATTTAGTGTTTAGAAAATAAAAATAATAAAAACGTAATGTCTGCTCTGAGACTCTTGAAATACGAAATATGTTTAGGTAAACTACAAAATTAATAAATTTCGTATAATGTAAAAGCATAAAACAGTTTAAAGAAAATAAAGATTATTTGAATATGGCATGCAATGGGCCACCCGCAGCTGTGACAAAATCACAAACAATGTTTGTATGAAACTCTTTTATTTACCATTCAATCGGCTTCAAACTCATTTTTAAAGATCTTTGTTTGAATTCATTGAGGGGTGCTTCACATTTTTCGGAAAATCGATGCCTCCTCGGTATAAATGGGGGTCAAAGATTTGGTGGGGGAAAAATTATTTGAGACTTATTTCACCCCTTAAGCAGAATCCAAGCGTCTTCGGTGGGAATGCGTTCAGAGATTTTTTTGTCGAAGTCAAAGATTTTGTCAGATTACAACCTTATTTTCAAATCCCTATGTAAGAACTTAATGAACAATTTCTCATCTATTTAAAATATTTCACCGGCAATAGTGGTAAATTGGCATTAAAGTGTTGTATAAAATGTATTCGTTTTTCATCTGATCATTTTCAAAGATTTTTATGAAAATTCATCTGCTACGTTTTTCACACTTATCGCAAAATTTCAAAGCCTATAAAAAAAATTAAATGATTATGTGTCTTAGCGATTTTAAAAAAACCGTAACTGTGGAGCTTTGCACAAAATTTTTATTTTTTGCTTATCGGTTTCAAGCTTATTTTCAAAAAGAATTTATTTGATACGTTTTCATAAAGGTCACCACTCTTAGATGAACAAGTAATAGGCGCTAGTCGGGAGCTCCCGACTAGGGAATACCCTGAACGCTCTACTACCAACAACTCAGCTCGCGCTACGTGCTTGTTTGCTTGAGCAGTAATAAAAAATTTTTTTAAAAAACTGTTTTCTCGATACCAGCCAAAAAAAAATAGTTTCCTCGGTAGGGTTCGAACTCGCAACAGACCTCACTAATTTCCGCCGCCTATACCCAACAGCCACACCAATTATTGAGTCTTCGTGAGAAAAAAACGGATTAAAATAGCAGCATAGAAAACAATACAACCGCTATTGCAATGCTGTGACAGAATCCAATAAAGACGCGTATTAATGTGTGTGTGTGTACATGTATATGGAAATTCTTGCAATTTTCCCTAGCCGCCGCAAACACGAGGCCATCCAAAACACGTTTTAATTGTGTTTCTTAACCGATCTTGATGAAATTTTCAGAAGAGCTTATTCTGCTATGGAATATTCGTATATTCTTAAAAAGATTGTTGCGCTATTGAGCTTTTTCAATAGCTTTCACAAATAGAAATAAATAACTTTATTTTATTTCTTGTGTTCCAATTTATTTATATATTTATTATAAGTTAAGATAAGCAGACAGACCCGAATTGGTCTGTCTTTATTATTTAAGAACAATAGGTTTTGTAGGCAAGCGAACCCGAGTTGGTACGTGCCGATTTTAGCAAAGCGATAATTGCGACAAAATTAATAAGTTTTGATAATGCAAGTGGCCGATGCGTAGGTTAACGCTAGGGCAATAAAATATCATTACAGCGAAGAGCGCAAGCTTAATGTAAATGTAATCCCAAGAGCGAAATTTAAGCAGTTACTTCGCAGAGCAAGTATTATAAGATAAGAAGACGATGCTGCTCTTATCAGTGGCGAGGTCGCTCCAGCTGTTTTGGCTGCGTAGCCAGACATTCTCCCCCCGTTGAAAGGCATGGGCTTTCAACTGAGTCCTTGATGGGCAGTAGGCACAGCTTGTTTGCAGCTGTCCTTATCTCTCCTGTTGCGGTGCGCAAGACAGCTACGCGACTCCATAATTTCCCACGATTAGCTCCGTGATCCTCGCCAGTGGCCACCTAAGAGGCGACAGATTTTTTGACACTTGGTCTGGTTTCGGATTACGCCATTTGGAGCGCAACTGAAGCAGCGTTAAATATTCTTCACGCCAGCGGGACCGAAACAGTTGTTGGAGGTGTGTTACGCGTTGTCAGCCATCCAGACGATTGAATTGAAGGTGCATCACATCGGGCTCAACGAACGATGAGCTGGGTCCACCAATCAAGAAATGAGCTGAGTGAGCACATCTAGGTCTGCTGGATCTTCTGAAAGAGGAAACAATGGCCTGGAGTTAATTATCGATGCTATGTGGCAGACTAGGGTGCGAAGTTCTTCGAAGTTGAGAACGTAAGAGCCGACAGCACGATAAACATGATGCTTCGCTGCCTTCACTGCTGCTTCCCAAAGGCTGCCAAAATGCGGCGAACGAGGGGGAATAAACTTCCAATCAATGGAGTCAGCCATGCAAAACTTGTGCACTGAGTCAATACGATTGTGACTGATGAAAAGACGCTTGAGTTCCAGAAGCTCGTTCTTGGCGCCGACAAAGTTGGTAGCGTTATCCGACCATATCTGAGATGGCCTGCCTCGAGTCGATATAAACCTCTTGAGCGCAATCAAGAATGAAGCCGTCGACAGATCCTTGACCAGCTCCAGGTTAAGTGCTTTAGTCGCGAAGCAGACGAAGACAGCCATGTAGCATTTGACTGGAGCATATTACGTACGTCTGGATTATAGAAAAATGGTCCACAATAGTCATCGCCAGTGAGTTCAAAGGCTCGACAAGCAGTCAAACGTTCTTTGGGAAGATCAGCCATTATATTCTCTACTAATCGTGGCTTGGCACGAAGGCATCTCACACATTTGCCAACCACCTTGGATACGGTCTTCCTTCCACCAATCGGCCAATACTGCAACCGAATATGAGCCAGAAGTGCCCGTGGACCAGCGTGTAAGTCCTGATTGTGAAACCTTATAATGAGTGAATCCGTGATGGGATGGGGCCGCGGAAGAATTATTGGATGGCGAGCTTCGAAATCCAGCGAAGAGTTTTTCAGGCGCCCATCAACTCTAAGAATGCCGAACTCATCCCAAAAGGGTTAAGTGATGCGATACAACTGGATGGCTTTACAGCTCTTCTTGATCGCAGTGATTTAATTTCTTCCCACAGATGTGCTCTCTGGGCGAGCCGCAGTAAGAGTTGGGTCTCATTTTGTATATCACACACTGTTAGTCCAGGATGCCTGCTTCTGTGTATGAATTTATAGATATATGCGAATATACGCTGCATTGTATCAAATGAGTTAGCGTATTTACAAGTGGCAGATATATTAACGAAGGGAGATGACGCAACAAGGACCTTTTTTCTTAGCTCGAGTTCTAGCCTTTCTGGCATGCAAGCAAGAAGCAGGCCAGTCCAATTTGTTCCCACATAGAAATTCTGGGCCGTTGAACCACAGTGACGATTCCATGCCATTTGTTAGCTCTTCAACTGCTGTAACACGATTACCTACAAACACATTTAACTTGCAGGACTCGGTCTTTATCCAGGAAAGGCAAGCAGAAGAATCCGACCAGCAGTCGAATTTTCCATCAAAGAGTGCAATTTTAGATATCTCACGCAGGAGATTAGCTAATAAGACGGCGCCACAGAGCTCTAGCTTGGGAACTGTGATTGTTTTCAGAGGAGCTACGCGTGATTTGGAACACAACACCTGACAACTGGCTTGTGGTCGTCGAGAAATGACGTAGACACAGGACCCATACGCTTCGATGCTGGCGTCGAAGAAACCGTGAACTTCTTACTCTGCTGGAGGGATTGATCTGCTGCAAAAAGATTTTAGCCTTAGCGATTACCAGCCCTAAGTCTAAGCGGGTCATATAAGCGAGCTATAGTCGACAGAATCGATATTTTAGATGGTTTGGATTTCTGCTGAATGGACGAGAACGAAAATAGCAACCGATCCGACGCTGAGTCCCAATCAAGTCCAAGAGTTTTGGTGATGTTGCTCCCATCATCAAACTTTAGAGACGATTCTCTGTCCTCTTCGGGTATCCCTTCTAGAACAGCATCATTATTTGAACACCAGATTGAAGCCCAAGATTCCAGCCGTCTGACTAAGAATTTCCTTTGCTTCTTGAATCGAATCACCACCTGAAATGATGTCGTCAACGTAGAAGTCACTCCGCAGAATCCGAGATCCAATTGGGAAGTTAATTTCCCCATCCACAGACAGCTGATGCATAACACGGACAGAGAGAAAATCCAGCTTAAAAATCTTTACATCCTGTTCTGGTGAGTCTCGCCACAGAATGCATTGGAGGAAATCGTCCGGTGCTGTAACGCGTACGCAGCGATACATCTTACTAATATATCCTGTTAGGGCGACCGGGAAATTACTAAAGCAAAGAAGGATGCAAAATAAAGAGCTTTGAATAACAGGACCAGTCATCAATAGTTCATTTAATGAATTTCCTGACGAGGTAGCTACGGAGCCATCGAAAACGACTCGCAACTTTGTCGTTGAACTGTCTTCTTTAAAGACACAGTGATGAGGAAGAAAATATTGACAAAGTCCTTTGCTACGTATTGGTTTTTAACAATTTTGTATGGGTTTAGGGTATAAAAGAAAATAGATCCCTCAATAAGATTCGAACACGCGACAGACCACACTTCATGCCACCACCACCACTCAACAACCAAACCAAGAATTGAGTATCTGTTTGAAAAAAATGGTTAATATGGGCAATACAAGTTGGTTTATTAACTTGATTTTTAGCTTTGTGGTGGAAGCGGAGAGGTGGCGATAGGTATAAAATGAACAATACTTGATATATACATACTATTCTAGAAGCAGTAGACGCAGAAGTTTCGTGACTCTAGCTCATATTATTTGCCGAAAATGCTTAAAAACAGGATTTCGATATCGATTTTCACCGATTACTTGGAAACGGAGTAAGTTATCGATTATCGGAAATAAACTCGTGCTGCGCATAGACTAGGAGGACCTACTGCTATTCATATCATTTCATTTTTTATAGGTTCTGAGATCCTTGCGTTCATAAATACGGACGGACAGACCGACAGACCGACGGACATGGCTGGATCGACTCAGCTGTTGATGCTGATCAAGAATATATATTCTTTATGGGGTCGGAGATGCTTTTTTCTGCCTGTTACATACATTTGCACAAAAACAATATACCCTTTTCACCCATTTTCAGTGGGTTCAGGGTATAAAAATGCGCGTAAAGGTTTAATAAACCAAAATTATTTTTTCAAGACTCTTACCACAAGAATTTTTTATGCGGAAACCATTGATTCCAACATTTTGTTCTTTATTCCATGCACTTTAAACATATTGTTATATAGAAGTGGTAATCAAGTGAACTTGGTGGAAAGGTAATGTCTATAACTTGTAGCACATAACGTTTCACGGCCAAGGCCGGGCAATAAGCGCTAGCAGTAAAAATAAAGATTTTACCCATATGTCACGCATCTAGTGGACGTGGCCTAAAATCTCAAAATATTGCTTGACGGCTATATACAGGAGAACATGTTCCAAATTTCAAGTCCCAAGCTTAAAAAGCGGCCTTTGGCAGCATATCCTATGTAGCAATACATTAATCCTTTATAAGAAACGAATTCTTATTGCTAATCATAAGATGTATTCTGTGAGTGTTACAATCTCTGAACCTATAAGAGCTAGAGAATTGACATTTTAGCTGTAGGTCATCCTAGTGCCCGCGCAGATCGAGTTTGATTCCGATTTTCGATAACTTGCCCCGTTTCCAAGTAATCGATAAAAATCGATATCGAAATCGTTTGTTTTTGATCAGTTTTGGTAAATAATAAGAGCTAGAGTCACCAAACTTGACATGTAGCTTCTAGAATAGTATATATATATCAAGTGTCTTTCATTTTATAGCTATCGCCACTACCCCGCTATCACCTCATGGCTATAAATCAAGTAAACTCCAATTTGTATTGCCCACCAATATAAGCCACAATTAAATGCAATTGACTTTTTGAGAATACACAAATATTCTATAACACAATAAGATGTAATCTAGAAAACTTCATCAAGATCGGTTAAGAAACACAATTATTAAAGAAAATGTGTTTTGACTTTCCTTGTTACAGCGGCAGCAAGCGCAAACTCTAAGAATTTCTATATATATGAATTCTATCATAAGCATTGCATTTGCGATTATATTGTTTTCTGTGCTGCTATTTTAATCCGTTTGTTACTCATTGAGATTCAATTATTGGTGTGGTTGTTGGGTAGAGGCGGCGGCAAGTAGTGCGGTATGTTGCGAGTTCCAACCCTACTGAGGAAACTAATTTTGGTTTTTTTTTTGGCTGGTGTGGCTGTTGGGTAGAGGGGGCAGCAAGTAATGCGAGCTCGAAGGGAACCAAGGAAATTTTATTTTTAGTTTATCTTTATTACTACTATAGCAGACGAGCGCGTTGGTGTTAAAATAAGAGGGTTCAGAACCTATAACCTCTAACTTGTTAAAGATTGTTTAAAATTAAATTGATCTTTCCTTCCTTTCTCATTGTTTTATTTATGGGCATGTAATTTAGTAATGTCATCATTTTGTCACGATAGTTTTTGTTGTACTTTACGACAGGTTTGCTCCTTCTTGTATAATCTTCCTTCTCCCGATGCTCTCTGACAATTGTCTCAGTATATTTAAAAATGTTTAATAAAACCTTGTCGTTTTGTTTTATTTTCTTTGTGTGTATTTAACCTGTATAGTTCAGCTTTTTGTCTGCTACAGTTTGCATGTATTGTTATAAATTCGCTACAATGCAAAATGGTTTGATGTTATTGTCAAAAATAATTATCCCGAACCTATAAGCCTATAAATAACTAACGTGTATTGCCCGGCTTTGCTCAACGTATTGTTGTAAAACTGTTAGATATTACTTCTCCACCAAGTACACGCCCGCGGTAAATTGAAATCTACCCGTACCATCTTGATCTCCACTTCTATTTAAAAATATGTTCTTAGTGCATTTTTATTTTTATTTATTTAGTTATTTCATGTCGCGCGAATCGCTATGCAACGTGCAGCATCTCACTTTCCGCCCAACAAAGGGCAAAATACAAGAATAGTTTCTGTACAGATTCAATTCTGTCGTGGTGAATACAATGTTGTGGCGACCAGATACATGAAGCATACTCTAGAATAGGACGTACCAAAGATATATAAAGGTTCTTAGTCGTGTACGGAAAATACTGGCTTTATTGACCACGGACGTTACTTGATCAAGAATGTCACCTAGATTATTAACTTTATTACTGGTACTGTTGACACGCTCGAGTGGTGATCTATCAAGGGTGTAAAAAACCATTTGAGGAGGGCTTTTTTATAAAGTCATATCGTTGCATTTGGAACAGTTTACATTTAACAGGTTGATTTGACAGCAAGACTGAAAGGCACCGATGTCGGTTTGTCAGAGATTACATAATGGCATATCTTTATATGCTAGGCACAATCTCTCATCATCAGCATACATTTGTACTCGAGAGTAAGACAGTATCGAGGGAAGGTCATTCATAAAAAGAGTAAGGAGCAGCTGGCAAGGATGACTGCCTTGGGGAGCACCAGAAGTCACTTGAATACATTTAGAAAACGGATTTCTAAAAAGAACCTTTTAGGTTCTGTTACGCAAATACTCTGAGATC